GACACACACCGTTCTAAATAAACAACTAAGTAACTAGTAAACTAAATAACTTTTTATTTTGATTCCATGTAATCTTCCATAGCTCATTAGGAGAATTAAGCATGTATTTTAATAAAATGAAATTTTTTTAATGTTAACACCCAAAGAAAATTTTTCATGTTTGTATACAAAATGAATTTCACAAACTGCATATTGTAATATGGTAACACTAAAACAAACAAAAATAACACACTCACTCCATTAAATATGAACCATCTACTACAAATAGGTGATTTTTACCATTAATGGGATCTCATACTCCTTTGCAAATCTGATGAAAACTATGCATGTAATTTCAGGGAATTTATGGCTGCCTTTTAGCCTACCTATGGGTTCCTGACATTTAGAGTCTCCAATTATGGAAAAGAATAGCGTCCAAAACTGATTCAAGTATAAAACCTTAATATATAAATAAAAGAACTGTAACATACGGTGAGAATGGATTATTTATTAACATAATATTTGCCACAAGTGGCTATTCACTGAGAGAAATTACAATAAATCTCTATAAACCTATGAACACTTTAATGAGCTAAATATAAAAATTACAATTATAAAATACTATAACAAAATGTAGAGGATGTACATAATCTCAACTGGGAGAAGTCTTCTTAAACAACGTAAGAAACCTATTTGCCTAAATTGATACATCTGACTGTGTAAATATTATAACTTCTGTATAAGCAAAATGCACCATTAGGTCGAAAGGTCAATGACAGATCTGAAAAGCAAGATGTAAAACACAGGGTAGATAAAGGATTACTAATTCTAATATTTTAAAACAAAAACCTAAAAGTTGGTAAGATAAACTACCCAACAGACAAATGAAAAAACTAACAAATAACCCTGGCTGGTGTGGGTCAGTGGATTGAGCCCCGGCCCAAAACCAAAGGGTGGCTGGTTCGGTTCCCAGTCAGGTCACATGCCTGGGTTATGTGCCAGTCCCCAGTAGGGGGCACACGAGAGACAACCACACACTGATGTTTCCCTCTCTTTCTCCCTCCTTCCCCTCTGTCTAAAAATAAATAAATAAAATCTTTAAAAGAAAAAGAAAATGAACTACCAAGTAAACAGTGTTCAACCTAATTAGAAGTTGAGGAAATGTCAATGCAAACAACTTCAGACTGGTAAAAATTAAAGGCTTGTAGCATTCGGTGTTTGTGAGTGTCTTTTGGCAATGTAGATTACCGTAACTTTTGGAAAGTAACAGATTTTTTAAATCTCTTCATTATAAAACACATATATCCTTTGTCCCAGCAATCCCATAGATAGGAGAATTTATCCTAGTGAAAATGATACCAACATACAAAGAGTTAAATCGGCATCTAAGGGTGTTTCTTTTAACATTGTTTGTAATACCAAGAAAAGAAATGATAAAAAGGCAAAAAATGGTGGGGGTAGGGGAGAGACTAAATGTTCATAATTGGGATAATGGCTTAATAATTTATGATTCATGCAAACATGCAATATTACACAGCTATCAGAATAAGCCAAATTTGTAAGTATGGACCTGGAAAGATGTCTATGGTATTAAATGGCCGAGTGTGGGGTGAACAAAATACAGAGTATCATGTATAGCATAAGCCCATATTCATTTTTTTTAAATTGTATTATGTGATATACGTTTTTTTTTTTTTAGGGAATTCCTCTATATTCTTAATTTACCAAGTAGTCAATGAATGCATCTAAGTTTTGAACATATCTATTGCTCTATTAGGGATTTCACCATCAAAATACTCTTAAATCAAGGTATATAAGACATTATCAGACAATACAATCCTTTGAATCTTCTACAATAGAAAAGATAAACAATAAAAACTATTCTTAAGAGTAACAATGTATAATAGTTTTTCTAATGCCAAAATAAAAAGCCTAATACTGTGATTTTTACACTCACAGAAAACAACCAGATTTTTTTCCCCTGTAGCAGAAATAAGCTATTTCAGTTGCTTCATTGGGTAATATAATTATGTTCATTATACAGATATAAACAAGGGCCAGCCATTACACTAAACCAATTCCTTTGTGTCAGAAATTGGATTTTCTCAGAATGATATTCATTCTTTGCTATAAATGCACTTAGCATGGCATTACAATTTAAAAACTCTATTCAAACTGCTAAATCTTAGTGTAATGTTAATATAAAGTCCCAAGCTGCCTGGTATAAATAAAAGAACACTTGATTTGAAATCAGACATACCTGGGTTCCAACACTAGTCCTGACATTTATCAGCCATGTGGTCAGATTATATAATCTTTGAACTCACTGGTGTAACTGTAAAAATGGCTTTCTATAGTGTTCTTGGAAGATTAAATAAGAATATCCATATGAAAGTGCCTAGTACAGAGTCTGGTTGTCAAACTGTGCCTTCTTCTGTCTTCCTTTCCTAAAAAAGATTACTAACTGGCAACATATGTTTTATTACTGCCTTTTTATAAGATTTTTTAAATCAAAAGATTGCTTATATAAAGTAATATATTGTATTTGCCATATTTTTGCATCTCCAAAAGAGTATTTTGTATTTGAGACTCCTTCTCTGGGCTCATTTTTGAGATTTAGTTCGACCTATACTTATTATTTCTGATGGAATTTAAAGTTTTTTCGTAAAAAAAAAAAACCATTACACGCACACACACATTATTTTCTAGTGGCTTTCTACATCTGTTGGTTGTGCCTATGAAAACCACATTCGGTATTGCAGCCCCATGAAACCCGCTGCCAGGGATCAACAAAAGAAAGTCAAAAATTGAAGTTATACTACCCCACTGTAGTATGTCTAAGAAGTCCATATAACAATACAACAAAGTATAAATTTTAATTTTAACATAACTCAAATTTCTCAAAGTGTCTTTGTCTTCTGCAAAGTTGAATTATTAATAAGTCCAGAACATGACCCTGAATGCTGCAAAATGGATCCAAAGAGCTGGCCAGGTAGCTCAGCTGGTCAGCACATTGTCCCAACACGCTAACGTTGTGGTTCCATCCCAGACAGGGCACATACAATAATCAACCGATGAATGCATAAATACATGTTACAGCAAATTGATATTCTCCCTCTTCCTTCCTTTCTGTCTCTAAAATCAGTAATTTTTTTGAAAAGTGTATTAACCAGCTTTCAATATTTAAAGTATTTTTTCATCATACAAGATTCAATTAATAAATTCATAGTAAATAAATTTGTTATCTCTTCAAACTGTACAAGGTAAGTTTTACCCTGGAGTTGAGAACTGGAATTATCCTTAGCTCATTACAACTTTAGTTGCACTTCAGTTACATTTGATGCTTTTGATAGACTGTTCTTTAAAATAGAGCCTCTCTAAGGCTTTCCTGCAAAGTCTACCAAAACAAGTAGTCATCTACTATTGGTAATATTACAATTATTTTCTGATAATATTTGTATTAAATACTAATGATCACCCACATCATCTAGCTGTTACTGCTTAGTCTAAATTATACTGCTGCTGGTATTTTGTTGCTTGCTTCTCATAAAGTACTTAAAACGATGCTGAGGTGAAAATATATGCATAAAACACTTCATTACTTTTTCATATTCAGAGTATGGCCTGTTGAGCTGATTTTTAAGTGCCCAGTACATTTTTAAATCAAAATATATCACTGACATTCTTGTAACACCCCTTCCCATCTGAGCTCCTCCCAAATGCCAAAGTTCTACTCTTCTGAAAGTATAAATCTGTACATTTTTCTGGTGTTTCACAACTTCATTATCCAACTTTTGTACTTCGGACCTCTTCGTCCATTAAAGTAAGCACTTACTGTTAACATCCTACTTAAGCATATGATTAACTTTTTGCATAATCTTACTTTTCCCTTCGTAAAGTTAAATCTCAGTCATTCCCTTCAGCGTTCCTTCCTCTTCTAAATTCACATCAACATTGCCGCGAGACAATGTGCATATACATATGTACCTATCTTAAGCCCAAAATATTAATCAGTTTAGCGCCACTGAAAATCGATTTAAAAGCCTGGATGCCTCATTACAGTACCTGGTTGAAGCGTTTCGATTTGCTTCCCTGCCCTAACCGGAGAGCCTATTTCGTTTCTCCCGTCAGTTGTTTCCGTTCCCTTGCTGAACCCAGCACAAGAGTGTGACTCAGTACAGTGTATTTCTTTTACTAACATCATCCAGGATCTCCCTTTTCTGGGCGTCTACCGAACCGATCCCAAAAGATTCCAGCAGTGTGCACATCTCAACAGAAACTCCCACATCTGGTTTTCGATGAAAGAATCCAGAGGTGAGATTCTGTTCCCTCCAGCAAAGCCCCCTCCAGTTCAATAGGGGAACTTTGTCCGGAAAGCCACGTGGGCCAGAATACACGAGGATATCCCCAGTCCCAGCTCTCCCACAATCTTTGCCAGACCCACAGACGAACGCCCACTTCGGTTGCAACCCGGCCCCTTCCACACCACTCGGCGAGTGCCCTCACCTAGGGGACCTCCAGTTTCTGGATTTGTCCAGAAGAAGAGACGCCACACGTGAAGGCCACCACGCCGGCAGTGCATTGGGCGGCATCATAACCTGAGGAGCCCCATGAAACCCTGTCCAGATCAAGGGGGGGGGAGCGGGGGGGGCGGAGACGCGGAGGAGCCTACCGAGAAGGAAAGGCAGTGAGAAGGAGACAGTTGCAAATCATGCAGCGGCCCCCCTTCTACTCTCTCTAGTTGTCGCCAGATAAACATGCGGTGCCCGTTTTCGGACGATTTCAGCTGATCCAGCCTGAGCGTAACACGGCGTGATCGGCGCAGGGCCTTCGTCGCCGTTGCCTGTCGCCTTCTCCTTCCTCCCCGCCTACGTGGATGCGTGCGCGTGGTGGCGGTGGGGGATGGGTGGGGGCGGGGCTGGGGGCGGCGCAGCCGCAGCCGCAGCCCTGGCGGAGGAGCGCGCGGCCGAGAGCAAGGGAGGGAGGGAAGGAAGGAAGAGAGCAAGGCAGGCAGGCAGGCTGGCGAGCGCGGGGGTCGGTGACTGAGGCACTAGAGGGAAGCGAGAGCCTGGCAGCCGATCGCACCGTGTTGCAGCTCGGGCTTTTGGAGGGATCAGCCATTGAGTCGTCCGAGAAGAAGCGGGCACCGGCGCTGTTTGTGCTGGCGCCTGGGGGCGGGGGACTGGGGAGGTAGGAAGGGGGGTCGCTGCGGTGGTTTTCTGGCTGTCTCGCTCTCCTTGCCTTTTTGCCTTCTCGGTGGGCTCCTCCCGGCGTCTCCCTCGCCCCCGGGGCCCCGCTCCCCGCCCCCCGCGGTATGTCTTGATCTGGAGCAGCGGGTTTCATGGGGCTCCTCAGGATTATGATGCCGCCCAAGTTGCAGCTGCTGGCGGTGGTGGCCTTCGCGGTGGCGATGCTCTTCTTGGAGAACCAAATCCAGAAACTGGAGGAGTCCCGATCGAAGCTAGGTGAGGAGCAGAGCCACTCCGGGCTGCGAGAGTGGTGTGGAAGGGGCCGGGCCAGGGGAGGCGTTGCAACCCGAGCAAGTGGGCGTTCGTCTGACCTGGGGTCTGGCTTGAAAGAGATTGTAGGGAGAGCTGGGACTGGGGATATCGAGAGCACAAGCTCCAAGAATGGTGTGAATTAAAACTTGAATGGTGTGCTGGGCCCGCGAGGTCACGGGACAGAGCTTGCAAGGTTGGGCTTTCCGGAGCCAAAAGGTTACCCCTAAGTAGCCATTCTACGGGGAGAGAGCAAGGGAATACCGAACTCGGAGGGGAGCGGGTATTGCTGGAGGGAACAGAAACGCTCAGCCTCTGGATTCTTTCAGAAGTAGTCCAGAAAACCCCGGCAATGTCAGGGGAGGGGTATTCTGATTTGAAATGTGCACACCTGGCTACGGAATCTTTTGGGGATCGGGAGGTTCACCAAGGGATAGACGCCCAGAAATAGAGGGAGATCCTAGGAATGATGGTTAGTAAAAGAAATACACTGTACTGAGTCGCACTCTTGTGCTGGGTTCAGCAAGGGAACGGAACAACTGACGGGAGAAATAGAAATAGGCTCTCCGGTTAGGGCAGGGAAGCAAATGAAACGCTTCAACCAGGTACTGTAATGAGGCATCCAGGCTTTTAAATCGATTTTCAGTGGCGCTAAACTGATTAATATTTTGGGCTTAAGATAGGTACATATGTATATGCACATTGTCTCGCGGCAATGTTGATGTGAATTTAGAAGAGGAAGGAACGCTGAAGGGGAATGACTGAGATTTAACTTTACGAAGGGAAAAGTAAGATTATGCAAAAAGTTAATCATATGCTTAAGTAGGATGTTAACAGTAAGTGCTTACTTTAATGGACGAAGAGGTCCGAAGTACAAAAAGTTGGATAATGAAGTTGTGAAACACCAGAAAAATGTACAGATTTATACTTTCAGAAGAGTAGAACTTTGGCATTTGGGAGGAGCTCAGATGGGAAGGGGGTGTTACAAGAAGGTCAGTGATATATTTTGATTTAAAAATGTACTGGGCACTTAAAAATCAGCTCAACAGGCCATACTCTGAATATGAAAAAGTAATGTGAAGTGTTTTTATGCATATATTTTCACCTCAGCATCGTTTTAAGTACTTTATGAGAAGCAAGCAACAAAATACCAGCAGCAGTATAATTTAGACTAAGCAGTAACAGCTAGATGATGTGGGTGATCATTAGTATTTAATACAAATATTATCAGAAAATAATTGTAATATTACCAATAGTAGATGACTACTTGTTTTGGTAGACTTTGCAGGAAAGCCTTAGAGAGGCTCTATTTTAAAGAACAGTCTATCAAAAAGCATCAAATGTAACTGAAGTGCAACTAAAGTTGTAATGAGCTAAGGATAATTCCAGTTCTCAACTCCAGGGTAAAACTTACCTTGTACAGTTTTGAAGAGATAACAAATTTATTTACTATGAATTTATTAATTGAATCTTGTATGATGAAAAAATACTTTAAATATTGAAAGCTGGTTAATACACTTTTCAAAAAAAATTACTGATTTTAGAGACAGAAAGGAAGGAAGAGGGAGAATATCAATTTGCTGTAACATGTATTTATGCATTCATCGGTTGATTATTGTATGTGCCCTGTCTGGGATGGAACCCGCAACGTTAGCGTGTTGGGACAATGTGCTAACCAGCTGAGCTACCTGGCCAGCTCTTTGGATCCATTTTGCAGCATCCAGGGTCATGTTCTGGACTTATTAATAATTCAACTTTGCAGAAGACAAAGACACTTTGAGAAATTTGAGTTATGTTAAAATTAAAATTTATACTTTGTTGTATTGTTATATGGACTTCTTAGACATACTACAGTGGGGTAGTATAACTTCAATTTTTGACTTTCTTTTGTTGATCCCTGGCAGCGGGTTTCATGGGGCTTTGTAATACCTGAATGTGGTTTTCATAGGCACAACCCAACAGATGTAGAAAGCCACTAGAAAATAATGTGTGTGTGCGTGCGCGCATGGTTTTTTTTTTTTTTTTTTTTACGAGAAAGAAAACTTTAAATTCCATCAGAAATAATAAGTATAGGTCGAACTAAATCTCAAAAATGAGCCCAGAGAAGGAGTCTCAAATACAAAATACTCTTGGAGATGCAAAAATATGGCAAATACAATATATTACTTTATATAAGCAATCTTTTGATTTAAAAAAATCTTATAAAAGGCAGTAATAAAACATATGTTGCCAGTTAGTAATCTTTTTTAGGAAAGGAAGACAGAAGAAGGCACAGTTTGACAACCAGACTCTGTACTAGGCACTTTCATATGGATATTCTTATTTAATCTTCCAAGAACACTATAGAAAGCCATTTTTACAGTTACACCAGTGAGTTCAAAGATTATATAATCTGACCACATGGCTGATAAATGTCAGGACTAGTGTTGGAACCCAGGTATGTCTGATTTCAAATCAAGTGTTCTTTTATTTATACCAGGCAGCTTGGGACTTTATATTAACATTACACTAAGATTTAGCAGTTTGAATAGAGTTTTTAAATTGTAATGCCATGCTAAGTGCATTTATAGCAAAGAATGAATATCATTCTGAGAAAATCCAATTTCTGACACAAAGGAATTGGTTTAGTGTAATGGCTGGCCCTTGTTTATATCTGTATAATGAACATAATTATATTACCCAATGAAGCAACTGAAATAGCTTATTTCTGCTACAGGGGAAAAAAAAATCTGGTTGTTTTCTGTGAGTGTAAAAATCACAGTATTAGGCTTTTTTATTTTGGCATTAGAAAAACTATTATACATTGTTACTCTTAAGAATAGTTTTTATTGTTTATCTTTTCTATTGTAGAAGATTCCAAAGGATTGTATTGTCTGATAATGTCTTATATACCTTGATTTAAGAGTATTTTGATGGTGAAATCCCTAATAGAGCAATAGATATGTTCAAAACTTAGATGCATTCATTGACTACTTGGTAAATTAAGAATATAGACAGGAATTCCTAAAAAAAAACAAAAACGTATATCACATAATACAATTTAAAAAAAAATGAATATGGGCTTATGCTATACATGATACTCTGTATTTTGTTCACCCCGCACCCCGGCCATTTAATACCATAGACATCTTTCCAGGTCCATACTTACAAATTTGACTTATTCTGATAGCTGTGTAATATTGCATAGTTTGCATGAATCATAAATTATTAAGCCATTATCCCAATTATGAACATTTAGTCTCTCCCCTACCCCCACCATTTTTTGCCTTTTTATCATTTCTTTTCTTGGTATTACAAACAATGTTAAAAGAAACACCCTTAGATGCCGATTTAACTCTTTGTATGTTGGTATCATTTTCACTAGGATAAATTCTCCTATCTATGGGATTGCTGGGACAAAGGATATATGTGTTTTATAATGAAGAGATTTAAAAAATCTGTTACTTTCCAAAAAGTTACGGTAATCTACATTGCCAAAAGACACTCACAAACACCGAATGCTACAAGCCTTTAATTTTTACCAGTCTGAAGTTGTTGCATTGACATTTCCTCAACTTCTAATTAGGTTGAACACTGTTTACTTGGTAGTTCATTTTCTTTTTCTTTTAAAGATTTTATTTATTTATTTTTAGACAGAGGGGAAGGGAGGGAGAAAGAGAGGGAAACATCAGTGTGTGGTTGTCTCTCGTGTGCCCCCTACTGGGGACCTGGCACATAACCCAGGCATGTGACCTGACTGGGAACCGAACCAGCCACCCTTTGGTTTGCAGGCCGGGGCTCAATCCACTGACCCACACCAGCCAGGGTTATTTGTTAGTTTTTTCATTTGTCTGTTGGGTAGTTTATCTTACCAACTTTTAGGTTTTTGTTTTAAAATATTAGAATTAGTAATCCTTTATCTACCCTGTGTTTTACATCTTGCTTTTCAGATCTGTCATTGACCTTTCGACCTAATGGTGCATTTTGCTTATACAGAAGTTATAATATTTACACAGTCAGATGTATCAATTTAGGCAAATAGGTTTCTTACGTTGTTTAAGAAGACTTCTCCCAGTTGAGATTATGTACATCCTCTACATTTTGTTATAGTATTTTATAATTGTAATTTTTATATTTAGCTCATTAAAGTGTTCATAGGTTTATAGAGATTTATTGTAATTTCTCTCAGTGAATAGCCACTTGTGGCAAATATTATGTTAATAAATAATCCATTCTCACCGTATGTTACAGTTCTTTTATTTATATATTAAGGTTTTATACTTGAATCAGTTTTGGACGCTATTCTTTTCCATAATTGGAGACTCTAAATGTCAGGAACCCATAGGTAGGCTAAAAGGCAGCCATAAATTCCCTGAAATTACATGCATAGTTTTCATCAGATTTGCAAAGGAGTATGAGATCCCATTAATGGTAAAAATCACCTATTTGTAGTAGATGGTTCATATTTAATGGAGTGAGTGTGTTATTTTTGTTTGTTTTAGTGTTACCATATTACAATATGCAGTTTGTGAAATTCATTTTGTATACAAACATGAAAAATTTTCTTTGGGTGTTAACATTAAAAAAATTTCATTTTATTAAAATACATGCTTAATTCTCCTAATGAGCTATGGAAGATTACATGGAATCAAAATAAAAAGTTATTTAGTTTACTAGTTACTTAGTTGTTTATTTAGAACGGTGTGTGTCAAAATTTTTTGCCTTTTTTTGTTTGTTTTTGCAAAGGAGTTGTTTCTGAATCTCAAGTGCATAGCTGTTGCTAATGTTGACTGTTGGAACAGTGCAATAAAACTTTTGTTAACATAAATGTTAGAATTACGTGTTTGATAATTTACTTTTATAAGGTCTAAGAATTTAAACTAATATTTGTTCATATGCTTAAAATACCCCTACTTAAGTTTATAAATGCGGTAGAACATAATCTTTTCAAGGAGGATAGTAATTCAGAATGGATTATGTAGCCATTT